CCCCTGGGGCGCTCTTGGGATGCTCCTGGGATGCTCCTGGGATGCCCTTGGGTTGCTCTTGGGGCGCTTATGGGATACTCCTGGGATGCTCCGCTTCTCCTGAAATGCTCCGGGAACGCTCCTGGGATACTCCTGGGATGTGTTCCTGGGGCTCTCCTGGGGTTCTCCTGGGGTTCGTCTTGTGCAGTCCTGGGGTGCTTCTGGGGCGCTCCCAGGGCGCTCCTGCGCAACGCAGATACACCGCGCAAGTACACTACGCAAATGCACTGCGCAAGTGCACTGCGCGAACACGTCGCAACTACACTGCTCAAACACACATCCCCAGTACAGGATTTCCATATGCGCTAAACCCTGCCGAACTGCAGCGGTTTCCGAATCACGTCGGCGCGCTGTGGAGTCCTATTTTCTTCGGCTTTCGATTTGTTTGACCATGATGCTTTGAACTTTCTGTTGTTGTGGCGGCCTCTCCTGCGCGCAGGAGTCTCTTCAGACGCGTCGTCGGTCTGTCTGGCACTGGGCGCTGAGCTCCTTGAACAAATGCGCAGAAGTGGAATTTTCCCAAACTGCAGCGGTTCCCAAACAATTGTCTCGCCTGTCGAAGTTTTGGCCACGAGGCTTCGAATTCTTGGTTTTTGGGGCGGCCTCCCCTGCGCGCGAGATGTCTCTTCAGATGCGTCGTCGAACTGTCTGGCCCAGGGTGCTGGGCTCCGCAGCAAAATCGCGCGGACGCTAAACTCTTGAAGTTTCTGACCACGAGTCGTTATATTGTTCTTTTGGAGGCAGCCTCTCACGCGCACGGGATGTCTTTGTCGACGCGTCGTCGACATTTCTGGCGCAGGGCGCTGAGTTCCGCATAAATAGTGTCGCGCTATACGCTCACCGCGGCGTGAAAGTCACGCCTTGCACGTGCAGATTCGCAAAGCAATCGAATGAACCACGCTATTCGCGAACTCTCCGATGTTGCTTAAGCCCGGTGCGTTCCGACGCGGGTCCGCATTCTTCGGAATGTTTGTTTGGAGATGGTTTCGAAAATCACGCCTTGCGCAGGCCGTCAGGAAAGCGACTGGACGAATCACTCCAGCCGCGAATTCTCCGCGGGTGTTCTTCCGCGAAAGCACTACGTGAGGGCGCGGTGCAAATACACTACGTAAGTAAACTACGCGAATACACTACGCGATTGCGAGCACGACGATCATTAACGACTTGACTGCTCCGCATTCCTCTGATTGGTTGTTTCGGGATCTTTTCGCACCGCGCGAGTACACCACGCGATACACGGCGCGAACACACCACGCCAGCACAAAACGTACATGCCCTACGCAGGTACACCACGCGAAGACGCCGCGCAAGTACATTTCGCAAGCGCACCACTTGAATACACCACGTGAGAACACCACGTGAGAACGTAAGTGCACCACGTAAGTACACCACGTACGTACGCCACGTGAGGACACCACGTAAATACACAACGCCAGTGTAATACGTAAATGCAAGTTGTCAACTCACTGCGCAAACACATGATTGAAGTACTCAATGGGAATACATCACGCTACGCACATTCACGACCTCAGCACTGCCTAAACTCGCTACGTAGGTCGGCGATGCAAAATACAGTACAGGAATACGTTGTGCAAGTGCGTTACATAAGTGACTACGTAGATACACGACGCAAATATTGACGCTGTGTTTTCACGCAGCGTGTTTGTTTGGAGACAGTTTCGAAGATAACGCCTTGCGCAGGCCGTCAGGAAAGCGACTGGACGAATCATTCCAGCCGCGAGTTCTCCGCGGGTGTTTTTCCGCGAATGTACTACGTGAGGGCGTTGTGCGAATGCACTATGCAAGTAAACTACGCGAATACAATACGCGACTACGAGCACGACGCTCATTTCACGACTTGTCTGCCCCGCATTCCTCTGATTGTTTTTTTGGGGGTATTCCGCACTGCGCAAGTACACCACAAGAATTCGCGACGCGAACACGCCACGCTATGCAAGTACACTACGCGATACAAGGCGCGAACACACCACGCCAGCACACTACGCAAATGCATTACGCAGGTACACCACGCGGAGACACCGCGCAAGTATACCACGTGAATACACCACATAAGTACACCTCGTAAATACACAACGCCAGTACACTACGCACACGATGGCAAATCAATACGCACATCCATGATGAAATTGCACTACGCAAGTGCTACCCAATACGTAAACATACTGCGTATATTTACTACGTCAATCGATGATGTAAACTACACTCCAGACATAGACAACGCAAGCCCGCTACACAAGTACACTACGTAGATACACGACGTACTTGTTTACGCCGTACTTTTTCGCAGCGTGCTCACCCCAAGTCCCCCAGGGGTGCTGTACACGCCGCTCCCTGGTCCCGGGATGGGCCTGACCATGGGGCAGTGGCCATCAGTAGCTCCCGTCGCCCCGCAAGGCGCTCCCGGATCTCTTCGGCAGCCCGGGCCTCGCGGGGGCCACGGCGGCCGCCTGGCTCGACACGCTGCGAAGGGCCCACCCGGCCGCCGCCGAGGAGCTCGCCGCGCTCTCCGCGGCCCTGCTCCGCGCGAGCCCCTCGGAGCCCCTCTTCGAGCTGCCGGCCCTGGCCGTGGGCTCTTGGGAGGGGAATCGGGGGGCCTTCAAGGGGTTCTCAGGTTCGAAGCTCGAGGTCTTCAAAATTCTTCACGCTTCGCGTATCCCCACCAGCCCATCTCAAAACAGCAACTCTTGCGAAGCATGCCGACAGTCGTGTTTTTCAGGCGTGTTTCCGCCTGCCCCCGCATATCTCCCCTGTTCCTCCTTCCTCCCGCCTCCTTGTACATCCTCCTTGTGGTGGGAGCGGGAGAAGGACGAGGCGGAGGAGGAGGGAGAGAAAGCGGTGGGAGCGTGGTGTGAGTCGTTCGGGGCTCGTCCTGGTGTGAGTCGTTCGGGCCCTCGTCCTGGTGTGAGTCGTTCGGGCTCCTCGTGGGGCCTCTTGGGGGCCTCTTGGAGCCTCTTGGGGCCTCTTGGGGCCTCTTGGGGGCTCTCTTGGGGGCCTCTTGGGGCCTCTTGAGGCCTCTTGGGGGCCTCTTGGGGGCCTCTTGGGGGCCTCTTGGGGCCGCTTGGGGGCCTCTGGGGGGCCTCTTGGAGGCCTCTTGGGAGCCTCCTGGGGGCCTCTTGGGGCCATCTTGGGGCCTCTTGCGACCTCCTCAGAAGCGCAAATGAGGGCTGCCCCCTGAGAAGGACAAAATGAGCCCAAAACCTCTGTAAAATCAATGATTTTGCTATGAAGGAAGATGAGCGCGGCCCCCTCAGGAGGCCAAAATGGGGCCAAAACCGTAGCAAAATCAATGATTTTGGCTTCAAAGAAAAGCAGAGGGGCCTATCTCCGCCCCCCCGTCGGGGCCAGAATCCTCCTGAGGGTCGTCGTTTTTTAGCCTTCCCAGGAGTCGAAATTGACCCCTCTGACGACCCGCGAAACCTCCTCTACAGGCCCAGGGAGAGGGGGTAGGGGGAGGGGTAAACCCCTCCCCGAAGGGGAAGAAGGGGGGTTGAGAACAGAGAGAGCTCCCTAAACCACTCACGCCCAAAGGGCGAGGCCTCTTGGGGGCCTCTTGGGGGCCTCTGGGGAGCCTCTTGGGGGCCTCTTGGGGCCTCTTGAGGCCTCTTGGGGGCCTCTTGGGGGCCTCTTGGGGGCCTCTTGGGGCCGCTTGGGGGCCTCTGGGGGGCCTCTGGGAGGCCTCTTGGGAGCCTCCTGGGGGCCTCTTGGGGCCATCTTGGGGCCTCTTGCGACCTCCTTAGAAGCGCAAAGGAGAGCTGCCCCGTGAAAAGGAGAAAATGAACCCAAAACCTTCGTAAAATCAATGATTTTGCTATGAGGGAAGATGAGCGCGGCCCCCTCAGGACGCCAAAATGGGGCCCAAACCGTAATCAAATCAATGATTTTGGCTTCGGAGAAGAGCAGAGGGGCCAAACTCCCTCCCCCCGTCGGGGCCAGAATCCTCGTGAGGGTCGTCGTTTTTTAGCCTTCCCAGGTGTCGAAATTGACCCCCCTGACGACCCGCGGGGAGCCCTCTCCAGGTCCAGGGGGAGGGGGGAGGGGAGGGGTAAACCCCTCCCCGAAGGGGAAGAAGGGGGTTGAGAACAGAGCGGGCTCTCTAAACCACTCACGCCCAAAGGGCTGGTGGGATTTGAGGACATGTCCATCGGTTCCCAGAGGTTTTCGCCAGCCTCGGGGTGCCTTCCAGCAGCTGCGTCCTGCCGAAAAAGCGTCCCGGGGGTGCCCAGATCGTCCCAAACGGGTGCTGGAGGCCCGAGCTATGGCCCGAAAGCCACCCAGAATTCAGACATCCAGCGCCTCAAAAGAGCAAGATTTCTGTCTTCGGCCTCCTGGAGGCGGATACGGCGTCAGCCTGTAGTCGCAGCAGACGGCGATGGAAGGAAGAGGCCACCTTGTCCTCAACCAGTGGCCGCGCGCCCCCGCGCGGTCGGGCCCCCAGTCTGGACGCGCAGAGACACCGCCCGCCCACCACTTGAGCCTGAACAGGTCGTGGGCAGGTCGGCTGGCCAACGAACTCATCCGAGCCTCTGGCGATGAGACCGGTGGGCCCCAGGACCGTCAGAAGACGATTCTCGGAGACTCCAAGCGGTGCGGTGACCACACCGTGTGGTGAGTCAGCGGGAATTCGGGGTGGCTGCACGGTTTTGGGACTCGGGTCGTTCTCCGAGAATGTCTCTCGGGCGATTGGAGCCCACGAAATGTCCCGTACGATTACAGACCGCTTGACGGCGTCTCATCGAATCTGCGTTGTGCCACCCCAGGCATGTCCCTGTACCCTCTCCTCAACATCGCGGCCAAGAACACCACAGACGCGCGCCCGTCCGCCTGCACCAGCGCGCTGGCGCGCATGGGCGGCGGGCGGGTGCTGCACGGAAGGTCGCTCGACTACGAGCCGAGGGACCCCCTTGCGCCCGGAGACGAGAAGCGCACTTACATTCACACACGTCAAATCAAGAAAAGATGCCGATAGCAGCTGCTCGTCTTGGCACTCCTTCATCGACATGGTTGGATTATCCTCTGAGTTCTGATCACAACATACCCGGGGAGAGGTCCTGGGAGCAGCGGGATCGGCATCTTTCTGTCTCCCAGCCTGAGCATACCGTCGGGAATGCTCGTTGAGCGTATCGCTCCGCCGGTTCTGGCCACCACGCCTCGGCGCGGTACGCTGACCACGCCCTGATCCTGGTCCCCGAGCATCAGCGTCCTGAGCGTACAGGGCAGGGCATGCCGCGTCGCCGGGGCCGCCTCCGCGACACGCCAAGGAAACGTTCCCAGCCGTAAACATTCGGATACCCGCTCGGATTTCTTGCAGTTGCCTTGGACCACCCTGGAAGCGCCTCAGCCGCCGCCCCTGCCGCGCTCCGCGCGCCAGGTTGGGCTGGGGGGGCCCAGCGCCGATCCGGGGAATCCGCTCGGACCTTCGGCAGCTCATGCTTGCGCAGCATATCTTCCTCCAGGCGCTGGGCTCGGTGGTCCTCGACTTTCGGCTGCGCGGGGAGGTCGCGTACAGGTGCCTGCACCCGCTGCCCTACGGCACAGCGCTGCAGTGGTTCACCTGCGTGCGCCCAGGGGCCTTCTCGCTCTCCGTGAACGCGAGGTCCCAGGGCAGCTGGACGGAGCACAACACCAGCTTCCCCGAGCTGCTGCGTCGGCTGGAGGGCTCCCTGCTCCTCGGCGAGGTGGCCGAGGTGGCCATGGCGACGGAGAGCTACGCCGCGGCGCTGGCCGTGCTGGCGTCCGCTCCAGCCGTCTCCTCCAACTACTTCATCCTGGCGGGCGCCGGCGGGGAGGGCGCCGTGGTCACACGCTTCGGCAACACGTCCTCGGCCGACGTGTGGGCGCTGGGCTCCTCCCCCGCGGTGTCCAACGGGCAGCCGCCGTGGATGCGGGTGCTCGGGGGGGGAAGAACACGAGGACCATGGCCCGGTCTGAACGCGAAAGCGTCGGTAGCAATCTTGGTCATCGTACATCTTGGGCATCGTCAGTTCGTGAAGCACCCTCGCGCATCGGCGACGAGTGGCATGGGCTGTGTCTAAGATCAGCGTCGACAAGGCCCTTCGTTTCATCCCCTCGCCTCCTCCGAACAGGCACCGACCCCGAGGGATGCCCCCGTGACATCTTGGTCATGGTCATCGTGTTTCTTGCCTTGAGGTGCAGACCAACGTGGACCACTGGGTGAGCTTCACGACAGGGGACTACGCGACGCACCGCCGCCAGCGCGCCATTGATGAGCTGTCCGCCATCGGGGCGGAGGCCCTGGACCGAGATGCCTTCATGAGGGTCTACCTCACGGACAGCGCGAGGCCAGGCTCGGAGAACCGCACGCGCCCGGAGGACACGGGCGTGATCTTGCGCCCCAGCACCATTTGGACAGGCCCTGGGTCTGCGCAGGGACGGCCCCCCGAGGAGGCAGCCCCGGCTGCGGTCTCCGCAGCCGCCCCGGGGCAGTCTGGGGCGGTCTCGCTCGACACGTCCAGGCCCCCCAGACAGGGTCCGAGCAGAGAGGGGGCGGAGGATCGCACCGCATCGCGGATGCACCGGCGATGCGGCTCGATGGGGAGCATCATGTTCTCAACGCCGAGTCGCAGACGCATCTTTGCGCATCGGCGATACATTGAAGATGTGGCGCGATCCTCGGACCCCATGAATGCAGACCCCATCTGGGATGCTGACAGCACCCGAACCCTGCGGCACGGAGCGCCAGCGGAGGCGGCGCTGCGTCTTGTCAGCGGCTCCGCGATGGCTGTTCACTGACAGGTGCTTTGGCGATCCGCCGAAGAGTTCCACTTCAGGGCCTCTCTCGTGCAGCGCGGCGTCGCCCGCTCGCGTCGGGAAGGGTTGGGCTCGCCGCCGGGTCGGTGGCCAGGGCTGCCCGTTCGTGGAGTACCCGTCGGGGGGGGGGGGGGGGGCGCTGCGTCTCGGGGCCGCCCCATGGACTGCCTCTGCTTTGGGGCCTCGGCTTGGGCTGCCTCTTCCAGGGGCTGCCCGCCCCCCGGGCCTTGCCACCCCAGAGGCTCAACGGCCGCAAGAGCAGCATGGAGGGGCGGAGGAGCCCTCCCCAGCCCCGCAGCGTATTGAGCAGTGGATGCTGCGTTTTCCTCGAAGTTTTCCCGCCTCTGGGAGCTCTTGTTGGGCCCCGGGGCCGTAGCCCAAACAACGCAGGATGCAAAGCCAGCCCTGGGGAAAGGGTCGGGACTTCGAGAACTCCATAACTGCTGAGAAGAGTCAAGACATCGGATGTCTGAGTCTGCCAGGGGGGAGGCTCTTGGGCACTCCGCCAGTGGGAGGCTCTTGGGCCTCTGGGCCGTCGCGACCGTGATCCTGGACCCAGCCGCGCCCTTCGAGGCAAAGCCAGACCCGCGCTACTGGAGGGTCTGGGCCGAAAGCCCAACGATCGGGCCGCCGCCTGCGCCGAGTGCGGACGCGTCCGTGGCGCTCGTGTGAGCCCGCCATGGAGACAACAGTGTACATACGACGTGTGTGGTATTCATTCGCCACTCGTCTGCTCGCTGTTCTAGCAGGCCACGGTTCAGTGCATGAGTTTGCCTATTGTAGGTCGGCTCGTGTGGTATTCCCGGTTTGCCTGGCGAACTCTTGAGTCGCGCAGCGGTCGAGGCCGAGTCGGGTGAAGCTTTGCCGTCATGATCCCTCCTCCTATTCAAAAAATGGTTCGCCATTCGTCCGGGAACACTTCGCCCCCGTACCACGTTTGCTTGTCCCTCTGTCGTCACCCAGGTGGGCTGCGCAGAGTTGATTTCGTTTGCGCTGCAAGAGGGTGCCTCCCCACATCCTCCCTCCCGTGGTCATGTTGCAAGTCTTCCGTCGTCTGCTTTGCTGGCGCTTCCCTCTCCTCCCCCCTCTTACAGGTTCCCCTCCCAGCGAAGGCCGGGGAGGGATTGGGGCGATGGCATCGATCTTCGGATGCCATTGCGGCCTGCTCCAGCTCGAGAAGAATGATGAGGGTGGAGGCTGGTGGCTGGAGGTGGTGGCCGGAGGAGGAGGAGGAGGAGGAGGAGGAGGAGGAGGAGGAGGAGGAGGAGGAGGAGGAGGAGGAGGAGGAGGCTGGAGGAGGAGGCTGGAACAGCAGGGTAAGGAAGAGGATGCTGGCTGGAGATTGGCGGAGGGGGACGTAGGGGCCCGCCGCTCCACGGGGCCGACCGAGCCGGGCCGAGCCGAGCGGCGGCGCGGGATCGAGGCGAGCCCGGAGGGAAGGTGCGGGTCGGGAGCAGCAGGGAGGGGGGGGGATGGGCTCGGGGGGGGGCGCACGGACCCGCGACTTCGGTGAGCGGGCGAGGGAGAGGGGCGGGTCAGGTGTTCCTCGGCTCTGGTTTTCCCTCGGTTTGGGCTTGTCCTCGGTCTGCTTTTGTTCGTCGGTTACGGTCGGGAGCTTTGGATATGGCGTGTCGCTCCGCCGGTTCTGGTCCACCGCGCCTCCGGGCGACACGCTATCCACTTCGCGGCCCCGAGGCGTCCACGTGTCGAGCTTTTCCGAGCTTCCCGTCCCGCGGGGCGGAGTGGCACGCTATCCACTCGCAAGGCATGGCGTGTCGCCGGGGCTGTCGCGGCGACACGCTGTCCAACAGGTCCCGACCGCAGGGGGGTCTCGAGGGGCGGGGAGGGGAGGGGAGTGCGGCAGGGGCAGGAGAGGCAGAAGGGCGGGCGGGGCCGCGCCAGGGGCGAGGGCGGAAGAGCGGAGGGGGGGGAGCGGGGCCGGGGAGGCGCGGGGAGGGGAGAGGATGGGACGGGGAGGAGGAGGAGGAGGAGGAGGAGGAGGAGGAGGAGGAGGAGGAGGAGGAGGAGGAGGAGGAGAGGCGGAGGAGGAGGAGGAGCAGGAGCAGAACCAGGACCAGGAGGAGGAGGAGGAGGAGGAGGAGGAGGAGGAGGAGGAAGAGGAGGGCGAGGAGGAGGAGGACTGCCAAGTACGCAATAGGCTTTCAGGGAACCTTAACCCATCCTCAAAGATAGATGAGGCGGCCATTAGAGTACTTACTTGGGTGGATTTCTTTTACCAAAACCCACTGATCGAAGCAGCTTCCCCTGCAGGGAGGATCTGTAATGAAGGACTCTTGGAGGTCTCATCCTTAAACTCGCGAGTCTTGTAGAAACCAGTTCTTCGACTCAATTGGTTGTCGGGTATTGTTGCATATGTGACGCCCCTCCCAGCGGATCGAAGTCAGAGGGCGAAGGGCGGAGGGATCGGGGTCCCTCCTCCCCTGCTCCTCAGTGCGCCTGAATTGGGGCAAAGGTGTCGCTCGCGAGTGGCACGCCCGCCGCCTCGGATGTGAGCGTGCCCTTCACAACTCGCCCCTCCCGGTGTTCTTGCCCTGGTTGGCCACCGATTCGAAGGCCACGGGACCTGCACGAGGAGGGCATGCGCCCCAGATTCGGACCCCCAGCCGGGACAGCAGAGAATGATTGGAGTTTGTCCAACTAACGTGGCGAGAGAGGAATGAAACAGATGAGGGCGGGGGCGTCCTGAAACGTCGGGGGGTCGTCTCGCCTGGCTTGCACTACATTGCCGTCGGACTCGCGACGCGCCAGCGCGTCGAAGCACCGCTGGGAGAGCCACATCGACACTAACAAAGTTGCCCCCCCTGGGACGCAAGTTGCCAAGCGCGACGACGACGACAACGACAACTGAATCGCGTTGCCACTGGACTCGCGACACGCAAGCGGGTCCATGCAACACTGGGAGAACCAGGCCAACGTGAACACAGTTGCACCTCCCCTTTGTTCCAGACAACAACGAAGACGACGACAACACAGGTCACTGCACAAGCACCGTGCAGAACAATTCCCCCCTTTTGTTCCAGAGTGGACTTGCCGAGCTTGACGACGGCAGTTTCACATTGTCATCGAACTCTCGACACGCAAGCGGGTCGACGCATCGCCAAGGAAGTGGGGCCGACGTTAACAAAGTTGCCCCCCCCTTCCTTGCTCCGGATGCCATTGCCCGACCTGCTCTCACGCCGGAAACCCGCAGCCTTGCCTCCTACCTCTTGTCATCCCCCTCCTCTAGAGAGACGCGGTCGCCGGGAGGCAGCAGCGGGCCTGCGGGGAGGGCGGGTAGAAGGGGCTTGGGAGTGTCACGGAATACCCTCAGGGGGCAGGGTAGGGGTTCCGCTCACCATCAAGCCCAGAAGTGGCAGTGACAGGGAAGTGAAGCAGGCGGTGTTTCTACAATGACCTTCTAGCTTGAGCGGTAACGCTACAACGACGGGGACAACAAACCCCCCTGCACGCAGCACCAGTCCAGTGGAACCGACAGAGAGTGTCAAAATCGGTTGCGCACGCTAGAAGACGAGTGCACAATTCGCACGCGGCACCGATACGAGCACGCGACAGGCAGACATAACTTAAACATAACTCCAAAAACAGCCCGGGTGATGCTGAGGAGGAGGAGGAGGAAGTATTCGCTGGAATTCGTTGGTATCCACAATGTGGTGGTGAGGATGAGGATGAAGATGACAATGAGGATGAGGATGAGGATGTTGTGGAGGAGGAGGAGGAGGAGGAGGAGGAGGAAGAGGAGGAGGAGGAGGAGGGGCAAAGAAGGAAGGAGGGCGACGGGGGAGGGGGAGGGGGAATGAGGAACGGAGCCTCAGAAGCGTAGCGCAAACAGAAGAGACGCAACCGTCTGCAACCACTGGCTCACCAAAGGGTGTTGTCACTGCGTCGCGTTTGCTTAGCAGGCGCTTTGGCTTTGATTCGGGATTCCTTGACTGCGCTGAATCCCGGACGCGTGCTTCATGAGCGTGTTCCCCTCTCTGTACGGCCGATTTGAATGCGTCTACCACCACCTCTGTCGGCGGCCGCGCCGCCTCCTTCATGCGGCCCTCAAGCCTCACCGGGGGCGCATATCCTCACATCCGTTCCACCCGCACCGAGGAGGGATCAGTGCTATTTTCAGCTTCGTTCGTTTTTCACTCGCGTCAGCTCCACGAAGCAGGCTGCGCCCTCACCCGCACGACTGGACACGTTGTCAACTTCGAACATCGAACACTTTGGGTCCTGAGACGTTTAACCTCTCGCGTCCAGCCAGCCTCCCACGGTCAGCGCCAGTCAATTCCCCGAAAAGTCGGATCTGCGAATCACGTGATCCTGGCGGGCAGGGGTAAGATTCCCCCCTTGCAAAACAGCGCGTCAAGGGGTCACATCTTGGAATGTGGGCGCGCCCCTCCCCCGCACCTGCAAACCTGTCACAGTGCACCAGGATTTGCTACCAGAGATCGAAAGCGCTGCACTTGCATCATATACTGCAGAGTGGGAAGAGCTCCTTCCCGCCTCCCGTGGGGCGGGTGCGCCTGCAGTTGAGTGGGCAGCCAGAGCGCTGCTGGTGCGACGGGCGAGCGAGTCCCCTGTGAGACGCCCCCACGCGCGTGCCGTTAACCTCGGAGGCCTAGAGGTTGACACCAACACCAATATCGGCGGCGTGCTTCCACCGAGGGAAGATGATCCCGATCCAGGTGATGGTGGTAATAATCGGGCTTTCTGGGTGGCCGAACTATTGCAAGCAACACCAACATCCAGGATCATCTTACTCCCGTGGAGGCAACCCCTGATGTTGGTGTTGGTGCCAATTTCCAAGCTTCCAATAACCCTCGTGTGTGCGGTCCCGCGGGTTTCCACGCTTTCCTGCCGCTTGCCGTTCCCCGCTGTCGTTTCTGCAAGGGGGCGCGAGCACGCCAGAAATTGCAACTCGAGCGCGACGTCGCCCCAGGATTTGCACTTCGGGCGCGAGCGCGCCGAACTTTGCAGTCTGATCACGAGAGCGCCGGAAAGTGCAACTCAAGCGGGAGAGCGCCCAGAATCTGCAACTCGGCAGCGGAAACGAGGGACTCTCGCGCCAGAAGTTGCATCTCGAGCAGCAAAGTCGCACCAGCAACTGCAATGGGATTCCCGTCTGAGCTCTGAGCTCGAAGGCAATTGAATCTACACATCTCGAAAGCGAAGGCGCTCCATAATTTGCAACTCGAAAGCGAGCTTGCCCAATTTTGCAGCCCGGGGGCCGAAGCGCCAGAATTTGTCAGTCGGCTCGCAAGCGCTCCAGAAATAGCAATTCCAGCGTGAAGGCGCCGACGCTTGCAGCTCAAGAGCGGAAGCGCCCAACGACAAATCGAGAGTCGAGCGCGAAAACGCCCAGAATGCGCAGTCGAGCGCGACGGCGCCGAAGTATGTGGCGCGGGCGCGAAAGCACCTCTGAATTGCAATCATACGCAAAATAGAACGCCCGAAGCTGAAACCGTTAACGTCAGCGACCCAGGAGTCGCAATCCAAGCACAAAGGCGCCGAACATTGTAGTCTGGGAGCGACGGCGCCAGAATTTGCAACTCGAGCAGGATGACTAGCGCCGTAGAATTTGCAACCCTTGTAATCCAAGCGGGGGCGCGCCAAAATTTGCAACTCGAGCGCGGCGAACGCGCCGCAGAAAGAGCGGCCTCGCG